TTTCGGTTCCGAAATTGCCTGTTGTCGCCATCTACTACCTGGAACCATCACCATTTGCGAGCACGACGTCGCACGAGACGCCCACCAGAGCGGCGAATCCCAATTCTCTTGTCACATACCCACGTGAGGGCGCGAAGTGCATAGAGATGGATGTAAGTATTTTGTGATTTCCCAGTCATATGCTCTCCGGGGAAACGGTCAAGACATTCGTGACTTGCCGCGTTGTCGCGCGTCGCGTGCGCATGTCGTGTGCGCATGTCGCGTGCGCAGGCCGTCGACAGCAAGTTCTCAAAGTGCATCATTTTGTCGATTAGAGTGGAACTGAAGCGAATTCAAGCGGAGGCAAGGCTCTATGTCGTGACATAACTTTCCTTCTTTCCCCACCCTTCAGTATTCGGATTCAAACGGCCAGGCAGGAGAACACATCTCTCCCGCGCGCGACATCGCTCGCCACGTTCGGGGCGGCATACTTCTAGTGTCTTCTCACATGCCCAGCTAACATTAGTAGCTAACGATTTCTTCTGTCCAGTCGACTAGTGAAACTACAATTGATGCTAAAACATCGTTATGCAGCTGCGAACTACCCATCTGCCGCACGCGACACGCGACACTGGCCACGCCCACCTGCCCAGTGGATTGCGATTGTCTTGTCACATAACAGTCCACACGCTGTGGCGCTATAACGTTGGGTATTTTGTGGGCCAGAGCGAATGCTGCACTCGTCATCACGTTTGCAGAGCCACTTTCGTCGCCTTCACCACCACTCGGACAGCACTAAACATCCAACCTGAACACGGTTGCCCAGCAGTTGTGGTGCTTAGAAATGATAGGCCCTAGAAGTCTTTATGTTGCTTGAAAGTGCAAGAGATTGGTTGGGCTGCCAAGAGGTGGCGCGACTATGCTCCGCCATGTCTCGCAGCGATCCCCGGATAGGTATCAAGAGAATCGTAATTTGTCGCGCCAGTGGACGTCGCGCCCGCTAATGACGACGATTTTAGGTGGTATTGGTCGAGAATAGACAATGTATGACCAAAAATAGACATAAATGTCTACCATGTCCTTGTCTACATGAAATCCGATGCTCCAATCGAAAAGGTAGTGCAAATTGAGGAAACGTCGCGCCCACTGCCGCGCGCGACGAAGCGGCATTTTACGATTCTCTTGCCCGTCTCTCGCGACTACTAAAACAGCTATCCACCCGTTCTGTACCTAGGAAAGGCGCTTCAAGACATGAAGAGGCAAGCTAGACAGGAAACGTGGCACAGTTCTCTTTTCTTGCTCCCTCGATTCGAAGCCAGCACCGTGCGATACACAACCAAGAGGCAAGGGAACGTTTCCTGTGCTTAAGGGCAAACTGGTGCTTAAACGCGAGATTTCACCCGCTGGACTCCTGTTCCTAGACACAGCTCATCACGATTCTTGTGAGGACTACTTGGCTCCCTGTGCACCGTCGAGTGCCCCAATAGCAAGGAAACTGTATGGTGAGCGCTACTGATGAGATGAAATCACCTCATCGATCCTATGCTTCTGACTGTGTTGAGCGCTGGTGAATACGTCTCACCGGTCGTTATTATCATTATTACAGTCATGATATGAAATAACAACCTTTATCCCGTGCTATCACAGCTATAGGTACCTGGTATCATCGGAATGGGTGCGACGAATCATTCAACACCTGTGGTACACTACTTTGCAGGGTATGTAAGCCGGCATACTATTTTATACCTGCGTTTTTCTCTTGGGTAGGAGCTGCGCTTTCAAACGAAAAAGGCTTGCACATATGCGCAAAGGGATGATCTGAGCGGATGCGAGAGGTTCTGGCAGATCCGAAAGGTTCTTCCCAGTGAGTGACGTAATGCAGACTACTTTTGTTCCCGCGCGGAAAGAGCAGCACTATCGCTCCCGCTGACAGGGCAGAGCGCAGCAAGGCAGGTCTGTAGAGGATCCACAATCTTGCGGCGCTGGACGGTGAATCCCCAGCAAGGAAGGGAAGCCGTATTCGCTTGTGAGAAATGTTTTCGGTTGTTCACTTCCTTCAGACTTTCCTGCACGTGCGCTATTGGGAAGGGGTCGTATTATTGCACAAGCTTTCTCCAGCGGGCAAAGAGCGTACATTTCAATGACGTTAAAAGACTTCAGACCATCCACGCTACTGTGGGCTGAAGTGCTTCAAGGCTAGTTGTTGAATCTACAGAACAGTAGGTCAAAAAGGGCGTTGTTTGACGCACGCTTGGGGGCATTTTTGCACTTTTGTTCAGCCTTCAATAGTCCCGGTTTTACCATAGTCCTCACTCGGTAAAACCCGTGCACTCTTAGGTATCTGGAGAAAGTACGTCCAGCCACCGTGATGAAACCTGTCAACACTCGCAAGGCTATCTCGATGGCTCGACACGTCGATAGGAAGTGGCGAATGTTGAAGATCCCCCCCCCCCCCCCCCGTTCGCCGAACTGCCATCAAAAAGAGTCTCACCTGAATATGATTGAAGTGGTTGCTGTGAGCCAATCAGGCCGAGAAGCGCGTTTGATAGCTGTTCCCTACGGGACGTTGCTCCTTCCCAGAACTTGCTCAAATAGGTAACGGGTAAGAATCACAGACCTCATTGGACAAGAAGCAATAAGCGTCACATGCGATGCGACTGCCCCTAACGCAGCACTTCCTGATTCTTCTTTGTCGGTGTTATCGTCCAGGTAGCTGAGGTATAGACATATACAAAATAATAAATTTATTCTGTTCATAATAACCAAATGTGGTTTCAAGGGTCATTATAACACCAGACAGCATATTAATATCAGTGTTATGCTTCATTGCAGTGTGTTCCTGATCACAGTGTTTACCCAGGTATTCATGATATTCATGATGTGGTATGCTTCTCCTCTAGACGGTAGTGACTGACAGAATTCCATGTTTGGCAGTGGTGTCCGGATTCCGCTGGCTGAGCACTTCTTGAGTGGTCACAAAACCGTCTAGCAGCATTTTCTCTTTACGACGTTGCATTTTTCGTTGAGAAAGTTGCACGATCATCTGAAAATCGTCATGATTACTATAGGAACTTCTGGCAAAAGTGGGGGGATAATACTTGCTCATTGTTGGAAGGGGGGTGTATTTAATTTTTGGCCTTCTAGGAGTGGTGGGTGGTGGTTGACTTTTCTGTGATTTTCCTGTTTCATACGTACTATATACCCTCGGAAGCGGAGGTGGTGTAGTGACAAGTGGCGCGCTTACCACTCGCGCGGCGCCGGGTTCAAATCCCGGGTCGACTCCCGCCCAGGCCAACCAAGCCTTCTACCCTCCGGGGACGGTAAATTGGTACCAGATTCGTCTGGGAGGATAAAACACTGACTTGTACATCGGCTGGCCACCGCAAGTCATTGTATAGGCCACATCGCATTCAATAAGCCACTACGATTCTGAATGGAAGTAGAATGCGTGCCGCATCCCACAAAGGGATTGATCAACGGCGAAGACTTTATCCTTTTATCCTTTATACCCTCGCTCGACGGCTGATCTCGATTCGATTAGGAGGGAGAGAGGGCCGGAAAGCGGGGGAGGAGGGGGTCGTACCAACCCCCAAAAAAGTGGGGGTCGTACAGACTCGACTGAAACCCCCAACCAATGATGCACCCTGGGCTGAGTGGATTAGAGAGACCCTGGAAGCGTAATGGATAGCGCAACCGCTCTGTGACCGGGAAATGCGGATTCGAGTCCCGTCCGTGGTCCGACTCCTGCCCAAGACTAAGCAATTCTGTGAGAGCGAACTGTTTCAATATTGGGAAACCCGCGCCGTTGTAGGTGCTGATGGTGATGCCACGAGGGCGTCGTTGTAGGTCGCGTCATGTGCGCGGAATTTCCACCAGTACTTGACGGATTCAACGTGGATGTATAGCAATATGTTGAGTTGCGGGAGATACCGGTGCTCTTAGTCAAAGCAAGACACCACAGCGTGGATGTAAGGCCCCGTACCCGACGGAATCGCTCTGTGTATCGCTACGAGACCGCGCGCGCCTTATACCACATAACGTCCATCCACATAACGCTTAATAAAAGAGTGGTAACTAGGCATGTATAAGCTTCGTTGTTGAAGCATGTATACTGTTTTTCCAGGACGTGAAGGAAGGCCGTACCAAGACATGCACGCCATGCAGGTCTGAACCCGCCCATGCGGTCACCGTGGACTGTGCTTCTGAATTATCCAATCAAAATCCGGTCTCAAGTTTTTGAGCTCTCTCTCGGCATGAATAAATATGCTACATCGTGAAAGGGCACCACCCAGTACAGTTACTCACATAATCTATGTCAAAAGGGATGCGGATTCTGATACATAAGTGAAAAAATTTACCTGATCGGTCAGCAGATCTTTGATTCGATGAGTTTCTGCTGATTACGAATTTTTCTCCGCCGTTCCTCTTCCAAATGCTTCTTGCGTTCCTCACGTGTGTGAAAGTGTCCCGAGCTAAATCGAGAGATCTGAGGGACAGCCGCTGGGTTGTCGCCAGCGAGTTGACAAATGTCATTGATTATTTCAAGACTGCATTACATTATGGGGCAGTTCGCCTTAGTTGGGGAATCGAGTTGATAGCCTAACAAAGCACGTTTAGAGTCAGCATTCGATGGCGTGCAATTTTGAGTTCCTGTACAAACGAGGTGGCTATTTTGCATCCATCTCGTAGCTTCACAAAGAGTGTCGAAGCTCGTAAGAAATGTCCCCTTGCCTAATCCAATTATCGATCCAGCGTATATCGATATACCCTTTACTCAATTACATTCGGGCTATTTTTTTACGCATCAGATTTACTTGCTCTCTCTCTCGATCACTAACCGCATGCCGATTTATCTGTGGTATCTTAGTGTTCCACATGATACAAAATTTCTAACTAGGGAAGGTCGTCAGGTCGAAGTGGCCATTTGTAATGAGATGTAGCTCACTAGACGTGGTTTTGGACGCTGATCTCGAATCTGCCTTCGAAATTTGCAGAACGATTTCTGAACGGAGTTATGGAGCTTTTTCCACCGCGTTTACCACGCAACAGGTCGTGGGATCGGATCCCTGCTGAGCTTAACTTTTTTGCTTACTTGTGCAAACGTGGCAAAAAGTGGTTGTAGCGTCACTACTACATTAGCGTTCTCCTTGACTTGCCTGAAAAACAGTTTGCGTTCGCTTACTGGCGCGCTTAGTGCCTTATGATTTAGGAGAATTTCTGGATGTACAGGTGCCCTTGGCGCGCAGTGCAGGCGTTTTCGCGCTGAACGAGTGCCATATTCGTGTTCATGGGGGCGAACTACGCCTATGTAGAGGTTTCTAGCCAAATCTGGCATTTTGACCTGACTTCCATAAATGGACCATCCATGGGTTAGTTCAGTTGATGTACACACCTATTCAGATGCAGATACATTCTCCTGCACAAACCCTCGTCTTGCCACTTCTTACGCATTCATTTTGTTACTGCTTCAGTTTTCCTAATATCTGAAAGCAAATTCCGTCCAAAGACAAGCAATCAACAAGAGATTGGCCCTGGAACTATTAGTGACCATCATTCGATCAGCTGCTACCGCACTTTTCAAAGTTAGGTCAAAACCTCACATCTGGCTAGAAACCTGCCCCCAGGGGTAGTTTTGCTCCCTGAACACGAATATGGCACCCATTTGGCGTTTGAGTGTTTTCTAGACTTCAAAGAGACATTCCGCACAAAATGCAAAAGTAGCCCCCCTACAGAAATCCGAACCCTCCAACGCATGCCCGCGAAGCAAGACCACTACCACTACACCATGCCGCCGTTGGACCTGCGAGTGCTTCCCGGCTACTTACGCGGACTGGCTGGCAACCGCGCTTGACTCCGCTTTCCTTCATTTTAATTCTAAAAAACCTTCATAATTCCTTTCAAAGAATCGTTCTGCAAATTTCAATGGCAGATTCGAGATCAGCGTCCAAAACCACGTCCAGTGAGCTATATCTCATTACAAATGGCCACTTCGACCTGACGACCTTCCCTAGTAAAGTATATTGCATTTCTTCAAATGAAATCAAAACTCACTTTCAGCTCGCTCATTGCGTCGTCATCGGTGCTGATGCCTGTTCGTTCTCGGATAAGCTGTGCAGCTCGTTTCTTCAGAATTTGATTTCGAGCTGGTCGCTTCACGACGTATCGTGAACCGTCACATCGTCGCTTAACCTGAAACACATGATAGATGTAACGCCAATTTTGGCACAAATATACATACAGGTAACTCGCATACTTGGAAAATGGGCGAAGGCGGGGTTGCGCACCTTATTCGAACATGGCGTAGGATGCGCTTTTCAACGGATAGTTCTATGAAATGACTTGTGCCGGCAAAAACATGACCACAGTTGCCTCAAAAAGGTAATATCCCTATCGAACGCGCAAAAGCTGAACGTTACGCTTCGCGAGGTGCTCGAGTGACTTTCGCGATGGACATTGCCGTGAGCATACATATCATCAAACATGGACATTACGGAATCTAGCCGATTTTGCCAGCTTTCAATCTGCACCTTCCACTTTCTACGACGATGGTGTCGCTTGTATTGTTGGGCCGCTCTGGAGCTTTGTCCGATGGCCCTGCAGCAACTCCATGGTCGTCACTAATTTCGTTCGCTTCTACTACTGGTTTCTCGATTATGTACAACTTTTCTTTCGTTTGAATACTCCGGAAATACCTGAAAATCATTTTGAATTCGACAGCAGAGTTCCACGTTGAGTGGTGCCTTAAGTGTTGAAAGACAAGAACTCAAAAGCCAAACTCCAGCTACAGATGCCTCGATAATGGGATCGGAGACGAAATGTGAAAGGCCTTCACAACCATCATCGGACCCCACACTCAACCGCCCCTCTTTTTGCTGTGTTTAAGAAGTGTGCACTATGATGTGTCTCCCGCCCATCCGTCATCGGTGGATGTCGCAAGATAATTAGCGTGCGATAGTCTCGAAAGAAGACCATGTCCCCGACGAGGCAAGTAAAGGATTTAAAAAGAGAGTATTGAGAATAAAAAGCGCTGCCTTCGTCTTTGTGAGGGGTGCCGAATGGACTCAGCTAAGCTTGTAAGCAGGTCATCATGTGAAAGTCCAAAATTCTTGTGACATGAAGTGCTCCCATCGGCAGCTTTGCAACTACAGAGTTCAAGTCTGACCAATCTGAAACCTGTCAGAACCAACAAAAGGAGCTAGCAAAAGTGTAAAGAGCCCCTCCGAGCGCAGCAGCACCTAAGATTCTATCGGTCATATCTTTAGCGCTGAACCCTGGGCGTTAGCCGCTTACTGCATCTGATAGGTAACAAGTTGATGTGCAATATCGTCCTCTGTGGCCAGCGGCTATTTTGCGCGGCGGCATGAACCGCCACGCATTCTAAGACTTCGGCGAAACTCTGAATGTTCAACACACAACAAAAAAAAATTCAACCCGCACGTGAACTTACTTAGGCATTGGAAGCTTGGGCTGTTTAGTAATATCTGGTCCGTGATTTGGTTTGTTTTGTTCTCGAATCACAATCGATAGTGAGGGTATCCTGAAACGTGTCTTTTACTTCAATAGTGCTGTGCCCTATTAAGTTCGCCTTAGAATTGTTCCACAACAGATCATTGAAAATTTCTGGAAATTAAATTTCCAGAATTTTCAATGATCTGTTGTGGTATCCTCTTCACTTAACGCTCATGAACATAACGCCTCAACATGCAAACGCCGCAAAGGGTTTTTCTCTCCACTTCAGCGCGTTTTTCTTACTTGTATTATTGTTTCATATCCAATAATAGGTTTTCGAAAAGTGGATGTAAGATCAAGCCATGCAAAAAAATGCAGGAAAACCCGTGCTGTGCCTACCTATTTTTCGCGCGCTGTCGCGAGCGACCTGTGACATGCGGGCGCAGTTTGACGGACGGGGGGGGGGGGGGCGGCGGGGAGGTGCTGGCAGGGGGGGCACTTTGTACTATCATGTGCTTCCCCTAGTTTCGGTGTTAGGCAAGTCTCACTCTTGACGAAACCTGTAGAACTCTTGTGAAGCTGGAGCAAGCTAATCTAGCCATCATGGTAAAACCTGTCAACTCGAGCAGAGGCTGCCTGGATAGGTCGACACGTCGATGGGAAGTAGCGAAAGTGCAAAATGCCCTACCCCACCCACCGTCGTCTAACTGCAGCCGTGAAATGCGTCTTATATACCCCCTCCGCTGACAATCGGGTGAGTACGATACAAAAAAACCTTAGAGAAGGCGCACACTAATTCGTAATTCTACACTAATGCGATCTCACCTGAATCGTTTTGCGCATTCCAAACTGTCCTTGGTGGGCAGTATTTGCAACGGAGGGAATGGTCGACGTTTTGATATCGGCGTATCGACTACCGATGCATTTGGGATCTCGTCCGCATAACCAGGAGTGTGCAGACGGTTCGGATGATCCAGTATAGGCTCTTGTGTTACTGAAATTTTTAGTCATCAAGGACAAATTTTTATGGAAAGAGATGGTTTGGTGTTGGCATGGGAGCTGCGTCATCTTTACTATGAAGCAGCGAAAATTTCATCACATACGTCTTCACATGCACGAGTTTAGGAAGTTAGTAGGAAAGACACTGAGAAAGGGATCGGGGCAATACTGGGAGAGGAAATTTGAGAGGGGAAGTCGTATATTGCAATATTTTGCAAAAATTTTTCCCCAACGGCAGTACGTGCCCTGGCGTCACCGCAACATGGCTGTAATGTCCCGCATCGCGTGGAGTTTTACGCATTGAATTGGCGCCTGC